GAGAATTGTCAAAGTCATGCAAATACGTATCCATATAATGTATAAAGACTGTAGAGAGCAAGTCAATAAGAAAACAAAGCCTGGACATTTTAGCCAATTTTGAAACCCTGTCCACTATGTCTGGGAAAAGGGTGTATGGTCACCCAAATAAAATGAAACGTTGAGTACAGCAGGATGAAGTATTTTTGTAGGCCAAAACCTAGAAACGAGCTAGCATTTTAGAACTTACGGTTCCATCTCCCAAAGTCAGTGGTTTTTTTAATGGATTTTTGATGAAATGCCTGAAATAAGGTTGAACTAACATTAAGAAAACAACAAAAGCAAAACACACAGTTTCTGAAAAGTAGGCTACTTTAGTAAAACAGATTTGGCTATCAATCATAATAAAAAAGAACATATAAACTGAAGCTGTTGTACTGGATCTCTAACAAAGTTGCTAGCACACAGTCTACTTACAGACAACAGCTGCACAGCCCACCACTGCTGATATTTCACTGGCAGATAAACTCACTGACTTAAAACAATGAGCTTGCCATCAAACTTCACAATACACTGAAAAATCGAATGTATGCTTCAGCTTCCAGATGTGAGGAGCACGGCATCCTACTGTTAAGAAAGTGAAAACTCTCAAAGCAGTTTTTCAGCTTTTGCCCTGAAATCTTCATGCAGGAAGCAGCTGTCTCCTGTTCTCAGTCTTCTTGTTAAAGAACAATGTTGCTGCCAGTGTTTTGGAAAACAAAGTCAAGGCTGAATGATTACTGTTTGACGTTCTGTCTATTTTGTAATCAAGTTCCAGGAAATCCTTGCTTATAGGAAAATCTGGTCTCGCTTTATATACAGTATGTCAATTTTATAGCTAAACCTTTACTGAGCTCTGCCTCTGCCATATAGTGAGGGCCCGAGCACCAATGGTGCAAGGACCCTCTTGGAATCTCAATGTTTATTCTTTTGCTTCTTCTTCTTCTCTAAAGTGTATCACATTTTTGAGGGCCTAAACATACTCGAAAACTCACAGAACTGCTGAAAAATTACGTCTGATATGTGTTTCAGAATTGGGTGTGGCAAATGGCTCGATAGCACCACCTATAAAATTTCAACGAAGCGTCCCTTCTTTACGTTTCACACACGTGTATGAAATTCAGTACATTCATGTAATGTCCCAATACCTAAAAAGTACAGGCAAACAATGTCCAATCTGCCCCAAACTTCACATGTTTGAGGGGCCTAAACATGCTCGAAAACTCACAGAACTGCTGAAAAATTACGTCTGATATGTGTTTCAGAATTGGGTGTGGCAAATGGCTCGATAGCACCACCCATAAAATTTCAACGAAGCGTCCCTTCTTCAAGTTTCACACACGTGTATGAAATTCAGTACATTCATGTAATGTCCCAATACCTACAAAAAAAGTCTCTTGGAGCGAAGTCCTAAATGCAACAGGAAGTCAGCCATTTTGAATTGCCTCTACAATTTTTGTACAGGCAAACAATGTCCAATCTGCCCCAAACTTCACATGTTTGATAGGAGTTCTGTCCTAAACACATGTCCATGCCCATATTCAGTTATAGTCATAGCGCCACCTGCTGGCAACAAGAAGCGACAGGTTTAACACTGTTGTGGACTCTTAGCAACAAATTAAAAAGCATCAGCAAGTGTTAAATAGGTTAGCAACATGCTAGAAACATGTTAAAACATGCTAGCAGCACTTAGCTAAGTGCTAAAGCATGCTATTAATGCACTAAAACAGGAAATTGCTGTAACTCAGGCATGCAGTGCAGAGATTGTCTTACTATTGGGAGATGGGAGGGTCTGTATTACTTACTATTGGAGAAAGCGTAGTGGTCAACTTGGAACACATGTGCCTTAATAACCAATCACATTACAGCCATAGGAATGGATACCATAGGAATGAATGAGAAGTGCCATATATCCTGAATCACACCTGTCGCGAAAAGTCAGTGACTTCTCTTAGAAAACTGCATTTTTTTCGGGGTAAAAAAATGGTTCAATTCAAAGTATCGTTTAGTGTAAAACAAGTTGAAGATTAGCCGATAGGCTGTCGATTCATCAAATGATAAGCTGTTTCCTCTTAAAAGCTGTTTATTTAGCGTAGTGAAGCCTCTCCTCCATTGGCATCCATAAAAAAAAAAACGGCCTCTGGTCTTCTTTCCCACGTACTGCCAAAGCAGAAGCTTTAGCATTAGCTGTTACGCTTTTTTGGCTAAAGGTTGCAGGCTTGGCTTCTAGTGGCTTTGTGCAGTGTTCAATCTGCCACAAACTTAACATGCAACATGCTAGAAACATGGTAAAGCATGCTAGCAACACTTAGCTAATTTGCTAAAGCATGCTATTAATACAATGAAACAGTAAGTTGCTGTAACTCAGGCATGAAATCTACAATCTGCCCGAAACTTAACATGTTTGATTAGAGTCCTGGCCTGAACACATCTCGACGCAATTGAATTTCAGTCAGAGTTGTGCGACACTCAATCGCCGTTTATGGATACCATAGGAATGAATGAGAAGTGCCATATATCCTGAATCACACCTGTCGCGAAAAGTCAGTGACTTCTCTTAGAAAACTGCATTTTTTTCGGGGTAAAAAAATGGTTCAGTTCAAAGTATCGTTTAGTGTAAAACAAGTTGAAGATTAGCCGATAGACTGTCGATTCATCAAATGATAAGCTGTTTCCTCTTAAAAGCTGTTTATTTAGCGTAGTGAAGCCTCTCCTCCATTGGCATCCATAAAAAAAAAACGGCCTCTGGTCTTCTTTCCCACGTACTGCCAAAGCAGAAGCTTTAGCATTAGCTGTTACGCTTTTTTGGCTAAAGGTTGCAGGCTTGGCTTCTAGTGGCTTTGTGCAGTGTTCAATCTGCCACAAACTTAACATGCAACATGCTAGAAACATGGTAAAGCATGCTAGCAACACTTAGCTAATTTGCTAAAGCATGCTATTAATACAATGAAACAGTAAGTTGCTGTAACTCAGGCATGAAATCTACAATCTGCCCGAAACTTAACATGTTTGATTAGAGTCCTGGCCTGAACACATCTACATGCCAATATTCAGTTATACTCATAGCGCCACATACTGTCAACAGTAGGGTGACCATACGTGCCATTTTTCCCGGACGCGTCCAGGCCATTATTTCTATATTGCCTAAAATATCTAGGTTTTGGCTTTGTTTGCGTGTGTACATCGGTGTATGACATCAAAATACCATACAGACGGTTCCTTATGCTTTCAAAATGCTCTCGAGGTACTTTGATGTCAAACACTGATCGATCTGAGCCGCGCTGCTTTTAAGTCGAACACACATCCTATGTACGCGTAATTGCATCGCTTTGACCGTAGATGCCACCTTCTCACACACACCATGATTGGTCCATTATGTAGAATGCCTGCATGTTATTGGTCAAACTACTTTTCGATTATTACCTTCAGCAAGCATGAAAACAAAGCCAAAACAAATCCTGGCAAGGACGCGTCCGGGAAAAATGGCACGTATGGTCACCCTAGTCAACAAGAAGTGATGTTTAACACTGTGATGCACTAGCAACACACTAAAATAAGCCATTGAGTATTAAACATGCTAGAAACATGCTCAAACATGCTAACAACACTTACTAAGTGCTAAAGCATGCTATTACATTTACATTTAGTCATTTTGCAGACGCTTTTATCCAAAGCGACTTACAATTGGGGAATACATAAGCGATTCTTCTTAAAGAGGCAAATAGACCAAGGAAGTGCTTGTAATACCAAGTTTTAGGCATTGTTCAAATAAGTACAAGCTAGAAAGCGAAGGAATAAAGAAAGAAAAATACAGCGTTTTTGAAAAAAAATGTTTATGATGAAGTCAAGTAGCGTCGAAAGAGATGAGTTTTCAGCTGTCGCAGGATAGGGGTGGGAAGATCATTCCACCAGCCAGGAATGGTGAACGAGAATGTTCTGGAAAGTTATTAATGCCATGAAACAGGAAGTTGTTGTAACTCATGCATACAATGTCCAATCTGCCCCAAACTTTACATGTTTGATAAGAGTTCTGGCCTGAAGACATCCAAAGTCCAATATTCAGATATAATCATAGCGCCACCTGTTGGCAACAGGATATGCCATATTACATTAACTCAAACATACTATGTTCAATCTGCACCAACCTTCACATGTTTGATTAAAGTCCTGGCCTAAAGACATCCACATGCCAATATTCAGTTATGGTCATAGCGCCACCAGCTGGCAGCAGGAAGTTTGGCACATATAAATGACTTTGACCATATTCCTCCTATATTTACAGTACCGCTTTAAATGCATATTATTACCCACCATTCATTGTTTTCCTATGGCCACAGGGTGGAGGTTGCTCCTGGTGCGAGGGCCCTTCCAGCGCTGCTTGCAGCTTTAATAAAAAACTGTTTTCCCAGTTCCTGTCTGTTTTAACTCATATTTTGCTCTTTTCTTTGAAATAAATTTGTTTTGTGAATGTGCAGCTCTAACTACAGTTCTGAAGTCATTTTTTGTTTTGTTTTGACACACATTTATCTCATTCGTGTCACTTAAGAACATTAGTAAAGTAAGTTAAAAAGAAAGTTATCCAGACTACATTAAATAGCAGTCTGGGGGTTGGTATCATATGTTCTATATTTGCAGTTAATATTTGCTATTAATGACATTTTCATAATTTTTCTTTCATAAGTCTACAGTCAGTCATAACTATAACCAGTTCTTCAAGCCTGAAAATGGTTACTGAGGTTTTCGATTAAAATGCTAATCAATTGTACAGGGGCTATTTATAATAATTAGTCTGAATTTAAAATAACAACCTAACTAGCCTTTTTATGTCGTTATGATCAAGATCATAATCCCAGTCCATAACCAATTAAGTTTGAACAAGACATCACGCCTCTGTAGGCTACATTAAATCCGGAAGACACGCCCACAACGAAGTTGTGCAGCGGCGGCACATTGGCCAAGGCGCGCTGTCAATCACGAATCTTCCATTCCTTCCGTTCCGCCAACGAGACTTTACACAGATGTGTTGTGTTTCAGGCGTGCTCGGTTGAGGCGGTTGGACTCCGTTCGCGCAGTGGGATCAACTTCTTTCAGAGGGTCTACCGTCTCCTACTCGGACACCTCGAGTTCAATGTAACAGTTATCGTAAGCAGTGTAGATCAAGGTGATCGGGGAGTTACTTTGTTGGAGAATTTAACATATTTAGACGGGGGTTTAAACGCAGAAGAAAATGCCTGTAGCTTCTCTCCTGCCTTTCACGCTCACTCCGAATAGGAAGTCCGCCAGCCCGACCTCCTTCAGGCTCACGGAGAAATTCATCCTGCTTTTAGTGTTCAGCGCCTTCATCACCCTGTGTTTCGGAGCTATCTTCTTCTTGCCGGATTCCTCGAAGCTGCTCAGCGGAGTTTTCTTCCGCTCGTCGTCGGTGGAGGCAGAGACGCGCACAGGTACGGTCAGTGACACAAGCACCGGGACGGGCAAGGATGAGAAGATCCTCGCCAAGATCAGAAAAGACCACGAAAAGGCGCTGATTGAGGCCAAGGACACCCTACAGAAAGGGCCGAACGAGATCAAGCAGGACATCAACAGCGACAAAGCGAAACTTGCGCTAAACGGACAGGGGAAGGGAGCGAAAGCTGACAGTTTGCCGTTCGTTCAGTACGAGCGGCCGCCTGGAGCAACAGGGCACGAGCCCGCGGATCCTGACATTAAAGCGAAAAGAGCCAAGATTAAAGAGGTACTGTGTTTTTTATATTATTAGATATACTCCTGCGGTTTGCTCGGACTCTCGAGAGACATCATGTCAGTTATTGTTATGAAAATAACTTTCCCCGTGTAGCGAAACCAGTCTGTTATTATTAATATTAGTTTAATGGCAGGACTAGTGGCGGGAAGCGTGTTGACAGTGTCAGTTTCAGGAAGTAAATGCAGAGTTGTAATGCGGTAGATAAGTAGACGTGTTGTTGTTGAACCTGTATGTTCTGACAGAAACTCCAGTCGCCCATTCACCTAGCAGTACTGACTGACAGTATTCAAGTCAGTATTCCTCATTATTCAGTCAGTATTTCACTCTGCATTCCCTGTGGTCAGTATTTAATCAACATTACCCATTTCCCTCAGTATTTATCTTTTCCCCCCAGTCTGTTTTCACTATATTTCATAAGTCATATGGTACTTCAGACAGTGTTCTCTGCCTTTTCAGTCTGCACTGCCTCTATTTCAGTCCGCGTTCCGTTTATTCAGTAGCCTATTCCAGTCAGTATTCCTAATTTTTATTTTTTTTTGTATTTTAGGCAGTGACGCCTAACTTTCCAGTCATTCCCTGTGGTCAGTATTTAATCAACATTACCCATTTCCCTCAGTATTTATCTTTTCCCCCAGTCTGTTTTCACTATATTTCATAAGTCATATGGTACTTCAGACAGTGTTCTCTGCCTTTTCAGTCTGCACTGCCTCTATTTCAGTCCGCGTTCCGTTTATTCAGTAGCCTATTCCAGTCAGTATTCCTAATTTTTATTTTTTTTTGTATTTTAGGCAGTGACGCCTAACTTTCCAGTCAGTATTGGCTTTATTACAGTGACCGTTGCAGTCTGTCTTCTCTGTTTTTAGTATTCTTATTTTTTTAGCAGTTCAGTCAATAATCAGTGTTCGCCCTTTCAGTTAATACTTTAGCTAGTGTTCCCTGATTTTATTTTTTTTTTGGTCTGTATTTTCCTGAATTTTAGTCAGTATTCCCTGTTTTTTTTCAGTCAGTATTTTAATAAACCCTCCTATATTTTAGTAAGTGCCACAGTCTGTATTCCAGTATTCCCTGTTTTTCAGTATTTCAAGCCAGTACTCACCATATTTCCGTTAGAATTTGTCTGCATTTCAATCACTATTCCCCATTTCACTCAGTATTTTATTTTGTATTTCCCTGTTTTTTGTTCTTCCTTTTTTTTTCAAGTTAGCATTGCCTATATGTTCCTGTCAGTGTTCTCTGTTATTAATATTTATCTTAGTGCTCCTGTACGTGTTTCCCCTTCTGTTCCCTGTATTTCAGGCTGTTCAGTCATACTTGAGCTAGAGGTTTTTGCATGATAAGGGCAACCTTTTTGTTTACATGAAAACTGGGCAAGTTATATCATAAGTGCAAGATGCGTCATTAGCATCATATTCCTGATGTTATCAGTAATGACAATAGTAAGCCAAAACCTATATCGTGTTTAGCTTAGGAGGGCACTTATTCTTTGACTATTTATCTTTAAGTTATGGTGAAGTACTAGTAATAATTTGAAATATATTTGCAGTATTGGACAATAACCTATGGTATATATAATTTGTGTATCCCTAATTAATGGCCATCTCAAGTATGTTTTCCCTGCAAAGTTGATTTGATTTGTCATCAATATTTTTTTTGAACGTATATTGCATTTTTCTTTTTTTTGGAAAATGCACCAAAGTTATAAATTATATTGATTATATTCTTAAGTGATGCTGGTAAAAATGGTGTAGCCTTGAAAACTACAGTAATAACTAGAATTTTTTTTTCTAGAGTGGTAGAGATGCCTCGATCAGATTGAGCTGAGCTCTTCTCAATGTCTTGGTTGAGGTGACCTGCTAAAGTGTTAACTATATGATAGGGCTGCACGATTAATCGAATGCGATTGTCATGCGCATTTTGTTAAAAAAGCTGGTTCTGTAATCAGCAGGAAATCCTCATCACGTGCTTTCAGATGGAGCAGAATTTACTACACATAGCCGTAGTTACGCAACAAAATCGCAGACGATTTTATTGCGTGATTCTGAAATCGAAGAAATCCTTTGCGATAATGACAGCTGTTTGCATAGCTTCTCAGTTATCAGAACTACGGCTCTGTGAAGTAAATGCTGCTCCATCTGAAAGCATGTGAAATTACCACATTTATACAACATATTTTTACTCCAAACTCACTTCATAACGTCAGTCGAGTGTTTGAAATAAATCCTTCTGTGAGATGATGTGGCTTCTTACACAGAATAAGGCACGCAACATATTTCATAGTATTTAAGCAGTGATAAAGGCATTGCATTATAAATATACTTTATTTTAATGAAAATTATAATAATAAGAACTCAGATAAACCGTATATTGTCGTAGTCGTGTGTTTATTAGTCACGTTGAATCAATGAAAG